CTCTCTCTCTCTCTCTCTCTCTCTCTCTCTCTCTCTCTCATTAAATAAATGTAATTCTGGAGGCATCTAGGAGGTATTGCTACCATTTTAAAAAGGCTAAATATAAATTATATAAAGAGAAATAAAATTCTGCCAACTATTAATAAATGCAAACTGATACATCTTTGATGGCATTATTTCATTATAATACTTCTCTAAACAGGTCTGGTGCTCATTCACATATTCAAAAGACTTAGTATGATGGCTATGTACTGCAACAGATCATGGACAAAGTCCTACAGAAATACAATGGAAAGAATCAGTTTTGGCTAGAAAGGTGTGGCACGAGTTAGCATCTATATGCAAGTATTAGAAAGGTAATTTAATTCTGGAGGCTGCAGATATTTGATACATTTGTTTTGGAATACAAACTTCACAGAATTTCAATTCAAAGACCTAATTCTGAAGTTTTCCACCTTTATTTTACAGTAACAAAAATAAAAAACTTTTTCTTCAGCCGGGCGTTGGTGGCCCACGCCTTTAATCCCAGCACTCGGGAGCGCAGAGGCAGGCAGATCTCTGAGTTCGAGGCCAGCCTGGTCTCCAGAGCAAGTGCCAGAATAGACTCCAAAGCTACACAGAAAAACCCTGTCTCAAAAAACAAAAACAAAACAAACAAACAAAAAAAAACCACCTTTTTCTTCAAAAGTCAAACTGGAAGACAATGTGGTAGGACATGCCCATAGTCCCAGCATTCAGCATCAGCCTAGTCTACATAGTAAGTTCCAGACCAGCCAGAGTTAGTGAGAGCCTGGGGAAAAAAAGGGGGGGGAGTAACTTGAAACCTTAGTACAGAAAAAAGGTAAAGGTGGACAAAAAGATCATGATTTAACAAAGGCCATAAAACAGAAATGTAACAATTTACTCACAGTAACTCTTATCTCTCTTTTTTTTTATTTGGGTTTGAGTGTGTGTGTGTTTGTAATTCAGAGTAACTCTTAAGCATTACCTCTGTCTTTTTGTTGTTGTTTTTTATTTGTTTGAGACAATGTTTCTCTGTGTAGTCCAGGCTTTCCTGGAATTCCATTTTTGTAGACCAGGCTAGTCTTGAACTCACCTTCCTTGGCCTCCTGAGTGTTGGGATTAAAGCTGTGGGCCACCACATCCAGCTGAATTATCTCTCTTTTGAAGTATTCCTTTTCCTTGTACCACAAATTAGCTCAGTAGTTTATTCAGGTAGAGTGTGGGTCACCATTCATTACAGATGATTGGATGATTAGAAGGAATTTTACAAGCTACAATTCAACCAATTGATACCCAAGTCCACTCTCATACATTTTTGGAAGAAGCTATCTAGCCACTCTAGCTTATCACTCCCTACTTTATTCTTTAATCTACTCTAACATACATAGTTCCATTAGGAACGCCATAAACTTTAGGTCACTGGTTTTGCTTCCCTCTCTACAGTTTGTTTTTTGAGCCAGGGTCTTATGAAGCCCAAGCTATATAACCAAGAATGGCTCCTGACTCCTGATTCTCCTTCCTCCACCTCCCCAATACCTCCCCATGCCCCATCCTCATTTCAGTTTTTAAAATGTCTATATCCTCCTACACTGTGAGTTTAATCATTGCTGTATGCCACCCTGGATAAAATGTTATTTGTTGCAGTGCATATGCCCAAGCTACAGAAATGCTATTTTAGCACCTGGCACATAAATTTAGTAGGTATTTAAGTCAATTTACAAAAAATAAGGTCAACGAATACATCTAAAACATTCAGAACAGTTATCTGACATTTAGCTTTTTATTAGGTAACTTTGTATGAACAGGGAACAAAAACACTAAAGCCTGTACTGACACCTTAATCTGGGAGACAAAAACCAAACATTATTACTTTCTACTTGTTCACTTACATGTTACAACTGCATCTTTGACAAGAAAAGTTATATCTAATTTATAAAGATTCCTTGACCCTGTCAGCCTGTCAAAATATATATGTATATATAAATTAAGTTGGTCTTGAAGTGGGGGGCTGTGTCTCTGCTTTCTGGACCTGAGTTTCAGTTGTCTATAAGATAGGAATGGGGAAAAGTAGAAAAGGTGATCTCTAGTGTTCTTTTCTACTCTTTAACCCACTGCAGGCTTATATAAATTTGGACTTAAGACTACTTAAGCTTCTAACTCAGCATGAATAAGAACCTCACAAAATATCAGCAAATGGCCAACTGGCTTTTGTCTCAGATGGCCAGTTTCATTCAAGTTCCGATAGTTGCCTAATTCTAAGCAACAAAAACTCTCTGGTTTTCAATTCCCTCAACAAGTAAAATGAAGCTGTTAGATAATATGAACTATTTCAAAGATAGCCACATTTCATGAAACAAGCTAACTCTTATGTTTATTCAGGTGAGAATTGAGTTACCATTCATTACCAATGGAAACGCGGCATCCCATAGGATCTTACAAACCTACTACCATTCACCCAACAGAGGCCCAAGCCCTCTCTAATCCTTTTTTTTTTTTTTTTTTTTTTTGAAAAAGGCATCTAGCCATTGTTGTTATCGAGAACTACTCATGGTCACAAGCCACTCCATCTTAGCCCAGCTATGGTGTAAAGTTCTTTTACTAAAACCATACCATCCCCCCCAAAAAAAAAGAAGAAAGAAGAAGAAGAAGAAGAAGAAGAAGAAGAAGAAGAAGAAGAAGAAGAAGAAGAAGAAGAAGAAGAAGGAAGAAGAAGAAGAAGAAGAAACAGAAGAAGAAGCAGAAGAAGCAAACAAACAAACAAAAAAACACCATACCATCCTCTTCGTAATTTTCACTCCGTCTTACCTCTCTTTTACTTAAGGGACTTTCATATACCTTTGGATTGAAATAACAGACACATCTCAAATAGCATCTCCTCCAAAACTAAGATCGCCAACTGTCAATCTTTCCTTGTAACACACCAACTCCCCACCCCCTTACCATCCATCCTGTCTTTTTCACGAGAAAAAATTAGCCGGGAGATGGTGGCACACATCTTCAATCCCAGCACTTGGGAAGCAGAGACAAGGAGGGTCTCTGAGTTCGAAGCCAGCCTGGTCTACAGACTAAGTTCCAGGACAGCCAGTGCTACACAGACACCCCCAAATTTCCCCTGCCACCTCCACCCAAACACACATTTGGGGTGAGAAGTAATAACGCCCTGTTGCTCCTCCGGGAGATACGGAGACCAGAAGTCATGGCAGCACCAACCGAAGCCCGCACCCTGCTCTGCCCAGTCCGAGCCTCGTCCCTCACCGGTACTGCTTGGGGTCGCTGGGAGATTTGATGATCTCAGGGTCGCCGGCGAGACTCAGAGGGGCGACCCGTCCCTCCTCTTCAGCTTCATCCGCTCCTAGACGGGCAACCCGGCCGCCCTCGCCCAAGTCCTGTCCATTGGGCTGCAGGTCTGGGCAGCTGCAGGTGGACTTCGCCTTGTTTCTTCCAGGCATGGTCAGCGTAGGATAGGGTATCGCAGATCCTTCGCACAGACCCCGTGCTCCGATTCGCCCCAGAGCCGTGAGCTCCCGCCCGGCCTCACACCACAACTTCCTCCCGGTGGCACAGACTGCAGCAACCGTGACTCTCCTCAGCATTCACCAGCAAATCGTAGCGCTGGTCATCCCGCTCCCCAGGCCCACCTCCTCCTCCTACTCCTCCTGCCACTCCTCCTCCGCGTCCCAGGGGCGGCGGCGGCGGCCGGCGTTGTTGCTGCCGCAGCCGCTGGGGAGGACAGGCCTGAACCCCTCCTCCAACCCGGCCTCGCTCACACCGACTTCCTTCATCCCACCCTCCTGACAGCTAATGACGCTATGGACTCTAGCCAATCACAAGGCAGGACAGCCGTCACGTTTTCAGAAACAGCCAATAGAAGCAGGGGAAGGAGGGGCGGGGCCAATAGGAACCGGCTGAGTTCCTGACGCACCCAGAGAGCATTTCGAAACCTGATGTGGGCGTGGCGAGAGAAAAGAGGCGGAGGATGATGGGAGAAGCTTGGCTGCGATTGTGACGTGCGCCGGTGGCTGTTTTAAGGTAACCGCGTAACGCTCCGCGTCTCTGAGAAAATATTCCCCGGCGAGACGACGCAGAAGTGAGCCGAGATAGGAGACGCTGGTCTTCCTTTTCACCCATTTGCGAAGTATTTCTTGGACTCTGCTCTCAGAGTGACTCAGCAAGTTTTTTTTTTTTTTTTTTTTTTTAAAGCAGAGCACCGGAAGTCTTTTCCTACCCTATCCTGAGATGGACGCTGTTCTTGTTGGTCACTAAGCACCGGAAATAACAATGGGACCTTTCCATCCTGCAGGCTGCCAAGCTGTTGGTGCTTTTCTCGCCCAAGGTTTGGTTATCTCACTCCCGTATGTGATTTTTTTTTTTCTTAGCTCCCCCACAAGCTAGAGTCCTCGGCCTGCCTTTTAAAGTTTAGCCAAATGCAAAAACACGTTAGGCTGCCGCCCTCAAGTTACTTTCCCAAGTTTTGTTGTTTGCCAGAGCCCTCGCTGCGACTGGAACAGACACTGTAAAATAAAAAGCTGTTGACAAGATACAGTATGCTGACACCATTAGATAATGAGGTCATACCCCATGAAGGAAATAAACGTTTTCAACATGAATAAACGAAAAAAGACTTGAAACCGGTAGATGCGTTCATTAGTGGTTGTCTTTCCTGCCTCTGAACTTCAGGTGCTGAAGATAGAGTCATGTACAAAACAAATTGTTGCAGGTATAGGTAGCCCATGCCTTGAATCTCAGCAATCAGGAAGGCAAGAGGCAGGTGAATCTCTTTAGGTTCGAGGCCAGCCTGTTTTACATAGAAGTTCCAGGCTAGCCAGGGCTACCTATTGAGACCCTGCCTTAAAAAATAAAAATAATAAAAATCCTTGCCTTCCCGAAGTTTACTTTCTTATGAAAAGAAACAGGTAACATTCAAAATGCTAAGACTACAATGCAGGATAGGATAACGTGTTGGGGAGGTGTACTGGGACAGAAGTATTTGAAAGTATTTAGATATCCTGTTTTCAGTACACCTTCATAGATTTGTCAGTTTTTAAGCAATTCCACGGGACTCTCATTCAAAGCAGCTTCATCTGTGTCCTAAAATGGCTGCCCAGTGCATTATAAAAGCAATAGTAGATGTTGAATAGACACCTAAGTGACACAGTCTATGCTTTGCACAAGGATGTTGTATGTGTGCTTTTTTTAATCTCCAAAGCTATAATGCCAAAAATAAGAAATCTTCAATTTCAACTGTCAATTTCATTTTCCTAATGAGAAAAGGAGTTTAGACCCTTAATTGAGATTTGCTGGGTTTTGAGCATATTCATTTAACCAAGTTAGGTCCTGCTAAGTGCCCAAAATTGGAAGTAACAAATATTTCCCCTTTCTCTTGAGCTCACAAGAGAGCTATTGGAGAGATGGGCATTAAAGAAGCACAGGGAATGATCAAATGGACCAATACAGAAAAAATCAGCACAGTCCCTGCTCATGGGTGACAGGCAAATTCATGAAGAGTTCCATATTTTATGAAGTACCCTGATACCTTGATCACTTGCTTCAATGCTTTCCTGTCTCTTTCCCCCTCTAGTCCCAAGAGCAGACATTAAGTGCAAAGATGGCATCTCTGTAACTTAACATTTATACCTTTCAGTGTAAAAATTTGAGTATAAAACTCCCAAAATGAAGCATACAAATTTTAAGTCTATAATTACAAATAACTCTAGATGGAGATGCACAAACAGATATGTCCTATTCAGGGAGTTTTCCCAAAGAAGGGGAATTTAAACTGAGAATTGGTGTGGAAATGAACTTAATGGAGCTGGTTAGACTGAGCGTGGTTAGACTGGTGATCTGGAAACAAAGGGACAGGGTTCAGTAGCAAAAATCAAACAGAACATTCCAAAGAATAGACATCGTTTTGTTTCATGCATCATTGGATTCCAAGATCTTAGAATGTTTTCCAACAAGCTGTAGGTACTCACTAAGTTTTGTGTGAGCAAATAAAGAGAAGGAATAATCACAATTGTTTTCCAAGTAGATCACTATGGTCGATGAGTCATACATACATACATACCTAGAAGCAGTTGAAGGCTAGAGAGATAGCTGTGTTAGGACCAGAGCTCTGATCTCCAGAACCCATGTAAAAGTTAGGCAGATGTGATCACCTAAAATTCCACCACTTGGAAGGAGGATTCCCAGGATACCTTAACTAGCTAGACTGGCCAGAATTGGCAAGCTCTGGATTCAGTGAGAGTCCCTGACTTAATAAGTTAAGTAGAGAATGATTGAGGTCAGACATGACATCAATTTCAGGCCTCCATAGGAGTGTACACATGTCCCTTACACATACATGAACAAAGGAAAGAACAAAAAAAATAAAAATAATGAAGCCAGGAAGAGAGCAGAGAAAGACTGTCGTGAGAAAATAGAATAGACATGTCAGTCGTCTGACCTGGGAATATTCAGGAGGCTGAGACAAGAGGATTACTTGAGGCCAGGAATTGGAGACTTGCCAGGAAAAACTCCCGAGGTCTCCCAAAAATGAAAAGAACAATTTCAAAGCTATTAAAGTAATACAGGAGTTAGAAAATGACTTTTAACTACAGCAGTGATAGTAGAGTTGGAGAATTATAGACAAACATGAATTTAGGAGGTTGAACTGTTTTAGATTTATTATATTTTGTTATTTGTGTTTTGCCTCTGTGTGTGTGTGTGTGCGTGCCTGGCACCCTCAGAGACCAGGAGAGAGAATCAAATTCTTTGGAACTGGAGTTGATTGTAAGCCGCCATGTGGGAGCTGGGAACTGAACCCAGGTCCCTAGCAAGACTATCAAGACTATCAAGTGCTCTTTTTTTTTTTTTTTTAGTTCGTTAGGGAACAAGCTTGTTTCACATGTAAGTCCCTTTCCCTCTCCCTCCCCTCACCCCCATCCCTCCTCCCCCACCCCCAGCCTAGGGCTCTCAAAGTCCCTTCTTGCACCAGGGAAAAATACTAATCCACCACCAGAGGCTCCCTGGAGTGCAGAGGCCTCCTTATTGACGTCCATGTTCAGGGGTCTGTATCAGTCTTGTACTGGCCTCCCCGACAGCATCTGGGGTCAATCTCTCCCTTATTCAGGCCAATTGTTCCTGTGGGTTTCTCCAATCTGGTACAGATCCCTTCACTCTTCATTCCTCCCTCTCTTCAACTAAATTCCCGATTTCAGCTCAGTATATATCTGTGGATGTCTGTCTCTGCTTCCATCAGCCACTGGATGAGGGCTCTCGTGATCAGTCAGCGGAAAGGGAAGGAAGGCCTATCAAGTGCTCTTAACTGTTGGGCTAGCTGTCTCTCCAGCCCCAAGCTAACTGATTTTAGTGATTTTTTTTTTAAGTTTTATTTTTATTTATGGGTGTTGCCACATGTGTACCAGTCCCCAGGGAGAGCAGGTAGAAGGTAACAGATCCCCTGGCACCGTGAGTTATAGGCTGCCTGGAGCCACTCAGCCTGAGTGCTGGAGTCTGAACCAGAGTCTCCTGGAAAGGCAGCAAACACTCTGAGCTGCTGAGCATCTCTCCAGCCCCAACAGTAACGTAAAGAAGAGTGGCATCAGGGTAACTCCTTGCTAGCTAATTTTCTGTGTTGAGTGGAGCGTGGTGCTATAGCCCATACCAGCAGGTGAAAAGGTATTCCAAAGAGACAAACATGTGACCCTTCCTTGGCTATTATTTCCACAATGGTCCCCGGAGAATTGGAATTTCCCAGTCATCTCAGGCTGGATGACTTGATGCCAGCTAGAGGAGGAGCCTGTCTCCCAGGAAGTGCTTTCACACAATTCTGAAAGCTTGTCAGGCCACCCTGCAGGAGAGGCTAGGGCCAGACAATAATAGGCCAGCTGTGGAGGGGACCACACCTTGACCAGGACTGCTTAGGGGCACTCTATTTAAGCCCAAACCTCATGTCAGGGCCCAGATGATCGGACTTGGTAGGTCACTGGACTTCACAGCAGTTTCTCTTTTCAGTGAGACTATATTGGTTAAATCTCTTGTCTCTGCTTTACACTGTCATTTGTCTTTGTAAGTGGCCTGATAAGGGCTAGTGGCTGAGCTGAACTTGTCTGATTTCCCTGGGTTTTGACCCTCCTGATTCTGCTAGTAACTTGGATAAGAGGAAATTCTGGAAGAGAAACAGTTTGGAGGGGAGAAAATATTAACTCGGCGAGGGACAAATTTGTGTTATTTGTATACCTCACAAATGAGGTCAGATCTGGAGTCAAAAAAGAAGACGAAGACTGGGGAGAAGTGAGCCTGAGACCAGTCAGTTCCTAGGCAATCAACAAAATTTACTAAAATCCTGTCTCAGATTAAAGAAGGAAAGGAGGGAAGGAAGGAAAGAAGGTAGGAAGGAAGGAAGGAAGGAAGGAAGGAAGGAAGGAAGGAGGGAAGGAAGGAAGGAAGAAAAAAAGGAATACAGGGGAGCTGGAGAGATGGCTCAGTGATTAAGAGCACTGGCTGCCCTTGCAGATGACCTGGGTTCAGTTCCCAGCACCCCATGATGTCAGCTGCCTGTAATTCCAGTTCCAGGGAATCCAACATTCTCTTCTGGCCTCCAGAAGCTCTTGCATGCATAAGTAAATAAATCTTTTCAAAAAGAAAGGAAAGGAAAGCAAGAAAAAGATTAAGGTCCTAATCCCTAAGAGCTTGTGGAAGAGGGAAAAACTCACAAGGAAGAAAATTGAAGGAAAGAGGCGTGATGGAGCTTCCAGAGGGGTAATAGAAAAACCAGAAGAATGTGGTACCACAGCAAAAATTTCTCTTTGATGCTAAACCTAAAAAATTCTGAGACTACAACAGACATCCAAGTTTCAAATTAAGTGTATAAAATATAAGAATCAGGGGCTGTGAGATGATTCAACAGGTAAAGGGTGATTGCTGCAAAGCCTAACAACCTGGGATTGATCCCTGGGAGCTATACAGTAGGATAGAACCAAAGCTAACTAGTTATCATCTGACTTCTACATGGCATGTGCTTACCGGAGTGCTGAAACACATATAATAAATAAATGTAATTATTTATTATTTAGCAAGAAGTAACGAAAGTGCTTTAGCTTGTTTTCTTCAGCTGTAAAGATGAATATATAAACAACTAAAGTCCATAAGTGACCTATAGCCTAGCTAGGACTTCCAAACCAGAACTATTGTTTGCCCATTGAAAATAATTTTAAGCTGGGCACTGATGGTGCATACCTTTAATCCCAGCACTCGGGAGGCAGAGGCAGATGGATCTCTGTGAGTTTGAGACTAGCCTGGTCTACTGGAGCTAGTTCCAGGACAGCCTCCAAAGCCACAGAGAAACCCTGTCTCAAAAAACCAAAAAAAGAAAAAAATGTTTTCCAAAATTAAAAAGCTTTTGAGATCACAAGAGTATTATAAATTGTGTGCATGCATAGAGGCGTGTGGGGGCGGGGAGCATGCATGTAGAGGGCAGAGGACAACATCTAGTGTTGTTCCTCAGGAATTGTCGGTCTGTCCACCTTGTTTTTTGAGACAGGGTCTCAAAATGGACTAGGTGCAGTAGCCATCTGTAGTAGCTGGTCTTTGAGGTGCCAACCTGTATTAACCTGAGAGGGGGAGTGTGGATTGAGAAACGGCAGGTAAAAGGTACTAAGGAGAAGATAGAGACACAGGATAGAATCAGGAGGGCCATCCAATGAATACTGAACACCCCAAATTTATTCTTAAACTTTCTTAAGTACCCTAACCAAAAAGGGGGAAAATAGACTTCTTTATCAAGATACAAGGAAAAAACAGACTTTCTTCCTTAATTCTCCACACATTTGGTAACCATGCCTTAGACTAAATCTCTCATTATCTGGCCTTAAGGGTTAAGAGTAACCACACCTCAGACCAAATCTTTTGTTATTAAGACATCAATGACTAAGACCAAACATCCCGCAGTAGCCATACCTTAGACCTTTAGGTCTTATGACTTTAACCTTGGAAGAGTAAGGATAGTTTTGAACTCTGACCTTAAGCCGAGATGTAGCCAAGCCATTTTTATTTATTTATTTATTTATTTATTTATTTATTATGTATACAACATTCTGCTTCCATGTATATCTGCACACCAGAAGAGGGCACCAGATCTCATAACTGATGGTTGTGAGCCACCATGTGGTTGCTGGGAATTGAACTCAGGACCTCTGGAAGAGCAGTCGGTGCTCTTAACCTCTGAGCCATCTCTCCAGCCCCGAGAAGCCATTTTTATGGGTCTGGACAACTAGGCTGGCTGGATGGTGAATCCTAGGCATCTGCTTGTCTCTACCTCTCCAGTCATGGGATTTCAAGCAGGCACTGCCATGAGTGGCTTTCTCCAGTCCGGGGATTTCAAGTGCACACCACCATGAGTGGAATCAAGCACCACTAAATGCTTGCCAAATAAGCACTTCACTGTTGGGCTCTTTCCCTATCTCCAAGATACCATTTTAACCTCACTTACCCAGACTTTCTCAGATTATTTAAACAGTTTTTTTTTCTATCTCCACTCC